CCTTCAACGTTTTTTTTTTTCTGGGTCTGCGTTCTTTAATATTAAAATTTTACTCTCATCTTGAATCTCTCCTTAAATTATATATAGTTGCATTTTTTTGTAATTTTCTCTTAGTTCCTCTTCTTACTCTTACGTTTCTGTTTTTTTCTCTGTCAATGTATATTTTTATATAATAATTTTCTGTTTCTTCTGTCATTATCAATAATCCATAATACATTGTTACTTTTTTCTTGTTTCTTTAATAATTATAATAGACAGCATAGCATAGGAAGACGTTAATACCTGCATTAGACATGATGTACAAAATTATATTTTCTCACAAAGAGATTCCGATTGTATTCTGCAAAAAATGTGTTGTTGACTTTGTTTAGTGTGTGTGTGTGTGTTTGTGTTTGTGTTTGACGATCTTTTTTTCCACTCTCCAACGATTAAAAGTTCCTCCCCGCCTACTTCGGTTCTGATTCTGAAGTGCAGAAACCAAACCGCAATCATCAGCGCCATCTTTCTGCTCGTTCGTTTCATTTGCCCACGTCTGTCTCTGCGAGTGAGTGAGTGAGTGAGTGCATGTATGTACGTGTGCTTCCGAGTAAAAATTAGTGTAATCAAATTGTGATTCTCCCCACCTGCATTCGTCAGGAGCGAGCGTGTGGTTTTGCTCGTTTCAGTTCGGTTGCAGCAACCTGTGTTCCCGCTGTTGAGGTGAGCTGTTGAATGATGTTTGTCTATGTACGTGACTGGCAGGAAGGGTTGCTCCGCAAAGATGGAAGCATGTTTGAATTTATGATTATTCATTCCGAGGATGTTGTTGTCTACGGCCCAGGGATCGCATCTGAACAGAGCAGTAGTCCTTCCCTCCCGCACAAAGTTCGGTATGGAAGTGATGGTTGAAACCGAAGAAAATATGATGATTATGATAAGGAGGAACATGACTAGGAAAAGAGTGAGCGAAATTGTGCACCGACGACGGGAAGGACGGGGTAGGAAAGCACACTGAGAGGAGCGACGCTAAATGTGAGCGTAATTTTAAAGTCTATAAAATTCAGTACATCAGATTGCACATTCCTGGGCGGAATAATAATGAGGGTTCACTCGACTCCATCCATCGAGAGGGTTTGCGCTTCGCTTTTACTAGCACACTTCAGAGTCTTTTATAAATCATTGTGTAAGAGGACAGGGACCAAGCCAAGGAACCAGAGGAAAACGGCTGATTCTGCAAGTCTTGCAATTCATTATCAAGTGAACTTATTTGCCCGCATAGCAACCCGTCAGATGTTACCATGGCGGCAAGCTAGCAAACCACGCAGTAGTAAACGGAACACGCCTTCGTCTACTTTGCTGTAGTTGGCTGTCAGTTACTGCTGCTAGTACCTACTAGTAGATGATAGGAACGGGCGAATATGTTGCACCCAAGGCCTGCTTTGCTTTCCCGGTAGAAGCCGAATGCGGGGGAAATTATTATGACAGCGTACTTCACTACTGGCACTGGCTGGGAAGATAGTTTTAGCAGCACCGGCAACGAATATGGAATAACAATCCGCTTTCGGTCGGAATGGTGGTTTGAATAGTAATGCTACACCGATCATGATGATGATGATGATGATGATGATGACGATGATGACTACCATCGTCATAACGATGTTTAGTTGGCAAATATTGATAGAGTTGTTTTCAATTTGATATCCGTTTTAATTCAACAGAATCAAAATAGCTGGGTGTTCTATCTCTCTCTTGTAATTTCATAACCCTATTACGAGCTCCGTATAATTGCAGCAGATTCAACTGGTGGTTAGTAGGCAGAAGAGCACCTAATGGAAACCATTTGTATTTCCTAGAAAATTAGCTAAGGTTGTATAAATGGAGTGAAAGGTACTTGAACCCGAAATATGCACGCTTACCTAATCCGGTCAATAAAATATATAACGTGATCTGATTTACTTTTCAAGTTGAGCACGTTGGGTGTGGTTCATTAACTTTGCTCACTAATTGGCCTTCAAATCAGCTGGGCATAATTTAACGGGAAGTGGTCTTCAGCAAAGTTGTAGCTGAGCAAATTTCCCATAAGCACAAATAGAAAATCGATGTGGTAAAAGGTTAGGACTAGGTAAAAAGTTTACGTTTCCCATGGTGATTCCCATTTAAACTTCAAAGGGCCAGTGCAGTATGGAATCGCAACCAATTGAGATAACTTTTTGGGGAGAATGAGTGTGGGTGGCGCAAAATTTATATTTTGAATCACCCTAATGGCACATGCTTCGGTATAGCAGTAATGGTTCAAGATAGCATACACCTAAAAAACGTAGCGGGGTTGACATCTACTCGTTCAACCTGTTCCGAAGATACCCATATAGTACGGTCTCCGAGGCATTTCCACATGAAAAGATAAGTTTTTTTGGCACCACTGCCAGGAATGTTTACGTCTGATCAGGTTTGGGAATTGCTGTAAGTTGTTTACGTAGAGTTATTCTTTTTTGCTGGGAATCCATGCTTCCACTGTGCATAATTAAATTGGTAAATGTTTGGCGAACGCAACAAAATAAATCTGTTCGTAAACATAAACAGTGTTGGGAAAATATCAAAACATCAGATCTCACCAAATATCAAGATCACGCTTGATTTTCGTAGACAAAAATCAAAATGCTCGGAATATCAAGCTAACCAATCTGTGGTGAGGTGGAGTGTCATGATTTTTGCTATGCACCCGAATGCAACCGAAACTTCCATAACGGCTGCCAGCAGTTGCAGCACCGTGTCTGCCATCGGTGAAGACAAAAAAGAGATAGCATTATTATACCTTCTTGTTGAAGAACTTAATAAGTAGGGGAACACTGTTGAAATTTGTATCCCGAAATTAGAACCCCATTAAAAATTGAAATGTTATACCTCCAATCCATAATGAGCCAAACGATAAGATACGAGAGTAGGTAGCCTAGCTTATCAGTACAGAAATTCCAGTATTTGAAAACTGTACTAAAAGGAGATGCCTTGCGACTTGTTCAGTCTTTAGCAGTCTCAGCGGCCAACTACGTAATCGCGTGGGATTTGCTGCAGAAACGTTTTGACAACAGGAATCTTCTTCGGTGCGTAAAGAATCATCGTTGGCGCTGTCATATCTGGCAGACGAATTCGATAAGTACATTTTCGTGCTGAATAAATTGCAGGAATCCAGAGATTACTGGAATTCCTTTCTTGTCGAGTTATTAAGCAACAAGCTCGATGCAGTTACGCAGAAGGAGTGGGAAACCCAACTCGACGATGATATGCAGCCAACATATGATGAATTGGTTGCTTTCATTCAAAAGCGCTCTCGCATACTCCGATCTATTACGCTCTCCCAATCTTCGCCACCTGTTTTCAAGACCGAACCAAGGTACGAGTCCAAGTCTCCTCGATCAAAAACCTCCTCGTATCACTCTGCCAACAGTGATAACTGACCTAATGTGCAAACAACCGCACACATTGTCCCAGTGCGACGAATTTAAGAAGCTTACGCCACAAAAACGCTTTGAGTTGACTAAAATGCAAGGCCTTTGCCTAAATTGTTTGAAATCATCACACTTGATGAACAATTGCACGGCTGGTTCATGTCGTACTTGCAACAAACGCCACCACACACTGTTGCACTTGAATGCTCAAGCTGCCCCCAGTACAGATAGTTGCAACAAGACTGTAGCAGCTCAGGTCGGCCAATGTCAGCACTCCTCACAATCGGCTACGGTCGTCGAATCGCCGTCGTCGGTTTCGTGCATTGCCGATCAATGTCACGTGGACCAGCCCCGTCGTCGTCGGATGGGCTTGTAAATCGTTCAATTTCGTTCAGTCCGTCGCCGGTTCCGCAGTCTATACCGTCAAGCTCCACTCATAGCTCCTCACAAGTGACGAACTGTCAAACCGTCGCTCCTGGCCAGTCTCTTGTATCGAAAGCATGCATGTCGTCTGTAAATGCTTACTGCCTACGTGAAAGTCATGCACTCTAACGGTAGCTACATTCTCGCCCGAGCTTTGTTAGACTGTGCATCCGAAGCCAATTTTGTTAGGGAATCTCTCGCACAACGGCTGTGTTCCAAACGCCACACCAGCAAATATCGATGTGTACGGTATCAGTCAATCGGTCAAGAAAGTGAAGCACACAACCAACATCACTATGTCCTCACGATTAGGATCGTACACAACAAGCATGGATTTCTTGATTCTGCCCATGTTGACAAGAATTCTACCCACTGCCAACGTGGATATTTCGAAGTGGGTCATACCTCACCACCTCCCCCTTGCAGATCTTAAGTTCAACATAGCCCACAACTTTGATTTGATCATCGGCATCAAAAACTTCCTTTCGATTCTGGAGAATGAACAATTGACTCTTAGCAGTGGCCTACCAGTGCTGCGCAAGACAGTTTTCGGTTACGTCGTCGCCGGTGAAGCCATGGAAACATCTGCCTCAACCGTAGTCTGCAATGTTTCCTCGATCAATAACCTGGAGTCGATTGTCCGCAAGTTCTGGGAGGTGGAGAGCTTCGAAAAAGGCAAGGCGCTTTCGCTAGAGGAGCTATATTGCGAAAATCACTTTCGAGAGACACACCAACGAGCCCCTGACGGTCGGTACGTGGTGCGATTGCCGATTCGTAAGGAGATGCTTGACTCATTGGGAGAGTCGTTCAAAATCGCTGAGCACAGTTCCCGGTAATTGAGAGGAAGTTGTCATCCGATCCCCTGCTACACGCTGAGTACTTAAAGTTCATGGACGAGTACCTAACCTTGGGACATATGGATGAATTTGAACCCGATCTATTGAAACCTCACTTCTATCTTCCTCATCATGCGATCCAGCGACCCGATAGCACAACCACAAAGCACGCCCGGTTTTCGATGCCTCGTGTAGAGGCAGCAATAACATTTCGCTGAACGACCTTTGCTACGTCGGGCCTACGGTAAAACCACCACTCGTGAGCACACTCGTGAACTTTCGTTTACCGAAATTTGCTGTGAATGCCGATGCCGAGAAAATGTATCGGCAAGTATGGGTTCACCCAGTAGATTGCTTGCTTCAACTGATCCAGTTTCGAAAAACTCCCAACGAGAAGCTGCAAACCTATCGGTTGAAAACGGTGACGTACGGGACGGCACCCGCTCCATACCTTGCCACACGCGTCCTGAACCAGTTTGCTGTAGATGAAGCAGCAAACTACCCGCTAGTCGTTCCAATGGTTGAAAAGTGTTTCTACGTCGACGACTATCTCTCTGGAGACGACGACGAACAGCGTTTGGTGGAAACAAACCGCCAGTTAATTGATCTTCTTCACTCAGGTGGATTCAATATGCGAAAATGGTGTAGCAACAGTCCCACCGTTCTTTCTCACATTCCCGAAACTCTTCGGGACTCTCGAACTGAACTCCAAATCAGCCAATCGGGTTCGGTGAAAGCTCTCGGCCTTCTTTGGCATCCACTGTCGGATGAATTCAGTTTCAATGTTCCCGAGTTTGTATCGTCGGAACCGATCACAAAACGTCTGGTCCTTTCGGAGATGTCACGCCTATTTGATCCAATGGGCCTAGTCGGAGCAGCAATCGTCAGCGCAAAAATATTTCTGCAAGCTTTATGGTCGGAAAAGTTTAATTGGAACGATACGTTACCGGAGGAGTATCAGAAATGGTGGAAATTGTATCGGTTCGAAATCGAAACTCTTTCGATGCTTCGAATCCCAAGGCGAATTCTCGTGGACAACTATCGCACGCTCGAACTTCACGTCTTCTCTGACGCATCAGACAGTGCCTACGGATGCTGCATCTACGTGAAGACTATTTCTTCTACTGGTGAACAAGCATGCAAGTTGGTGATCTCGAAGTCTCGTGTGAGTCCACTTCGCAAACTATCAACGCCTCGACTCGAGCTGTGCGCTGCAGTGGTCGGAGCACAACTGGCAGGCTTCGTACTTGAGTCAACCAAATGGACCTGTCCTGTTACGTATTGGACCGATTCATCGATAGTGCTGCATTGGATTGCTTCGTCTTCGTCAACCTGGAAAGTGTTCATGTAAAATCGGATTGCCAAAATTTACCGATTGACTGGAGGTAGCATGTGGCGTCACGTTCCCTCTGAGTTAAATCCCGCTGACAAAATCTCACGTGGAATCCTTCCCTCCGAATTGAAAACTGACATCCTCTGGTGGCATGGACCAAATTATCTTTGGCAAGACTCGGATACATGGCCAGAAAATTTCATCCAACTGTCGCTACTTCACAAACAGGCTCGCAGAGATGAAGGCCGGCAAGTTGTTTCAGTTGTCGTCACTACCACTCACGCTTTGACCGAATTCATCGAACAACACTCCACTCTCTGTCCCCTTGAACGCAAAGTTGCCTGGCTGCTAAGATTTGCTCGAAACTGTCGTCAAAAGGACGCTGGAAACTGTCAATTCGGTCCACTTTTGCAATCAGAGCTACAGAACGCATTAAAGCATTTAATCAAGCAAACTCAGTTCGTATACTTTTCGGCGGAAATTGAGTTCCTCAAAAAACACAATGGACCGACTCGTAAAGAGTTCACCTTCAAGTCTCAGCTGAAAACCCTCAGTCCATTCGTTGACGCTGAAGGCTTGCTTCGAATCACCGGACGACTGCAGAATCTCGACTACTTCTTGCGACTTTGCGTCAGCGTTATTGGCCAATCCGGGGACGAGACTTTGCAAAAAAGATAGTTAGGGAGTGCATCATCTGCTTCCGCTGCAAACCACGGAGCATTTGCCAGAGCATGGGGCCATTAGCACTGTCCCGAGTAACAGCGTCGCGCGCGTTTATCAACTGCGGTGTTGATTATTGTGGCCCGTTCTTCGTGAAAATTCCGAATCATCGCGGTCCGTCGGTAAAGGTATTCGTCGCAATTTTCGTGTGCATGGCGTCTAAAGCAGTACACATCGACATGGTGTACAGTCTCACGTCCGACGCGTTCGTGAACGTACTCAAGCGCCTCGTCGGGCGTCGCGGACGCGTAACCGACATCTACTGCGATAACGCACGGACGTTTGTCGGAGCAAATCGTCTTCTGGAGGAGAATCGCCAAAAATTCAACGACATGCACAATTCGAGTGGACTGCTCGTGTTCTGTGCAGACAATGGAATCACATTCCATTTCAACCCTGCTCGCTCACTTCACTTCGGGGGCCTTTGGGAGGCCTCCGTGAAGACCTTCAAGTACCATCTATACCGTGTGATGAAAGATACACTTCTCAACATAGACGACTTCAACACGCTGATCATTCAGATCGAGGGGGTAATGAACTCCCGTCCGCTCACTCCTCTTTCATCGGACCCAGCGGACGTTATCGCCTTAACTCCTGGCCATTTGATCATGGGAGAACCCGTTCACTCTCTTCCCGAGCCGAATATTTGCGACATTCCCATTAACCGTCTTGATTCCTTCCAGAAGATGCAACAACGTCTTCAGCATTTCTGGAGAGCCTGGTCACGTGATTATGTCGCCCAACTACAGGATCGCAAGAAATGGCCGGTTGTCCATCCGGACATCGAGGTTGGGACGCTGGTGGTTCTCAAAGAAGACAACGCTCCACCGATGCGCTGGAATCTTGGCCGGTTCGCGCAGGTATTCCCCGGTAAGGATGGACACGTCGGTGCGGTTCAGGTTCGAACCGCACATGGTACCTATCGACGGGCAATAACCGAGATTTGCCCACTTCCCATCGAGCGAGATGACCGTGATGCACATCCATCAGCCTCACCGTCACCACCCACCACCCACTGAGCCTGGACATGCTTTGTGATTAGTTGAAAGTGGCCCGGCATGTTGAAGAACTTAATAAGTAGGGGAACACTGTTGAAATTTGTATCCCGAAATTAGAACCCCATTAAAAATTGAAATGTTATACCTCCAATCCATAATGAGCCAAACGATAAGATACGAGAGTAGGTAGACTAGCTTATCACTCCGTATCATTATCTCCTTTAGATCCGATCGCTTCACGATCGTGCCTTATAAACCCCGAACTCAACCAGCTAGGGAAAATAATGATCGGTTGGTCCTCTTTAAATCAGTATAAAATTGGTCTTTATCAAAGACACACAACACCCACCTCTCTCGTGTTCCTCACTGCATGGAAGAAAAGTACTCCACGAATTGTGCCACTAGTTGCCCCGTTTGTTCCTGCTTCGCTGACCACTGGTGTAGTTCCTGCTTTGCTGCTGCCCTGTTCACCGTTTCCACCGCCGCTTCATCCAGGTTCGCCAACACTTCTCTTTCCAAGAAAATGATGTGCAACGGAATAATTTTTACGTCGTTTCAACTCTCAGCTTCAACTTTGCAGGGGGAGGTAGCTCATCGATTCTTCCGGTTCGCCTCCTAGCATCGTGCTATAAGGTACCAGGCGATAACCAGGGTAGTTGATCGATAGCTCGATGACGTCATTTCGTTGGCGTCTGCAATGAGAAATTCTCATGGCAGGCGTTGACGATGGGACGTTGTCGAGTTATTGAATAGCAACTATCGTGGTAACTCACCGATTACCTGTCGATCTGCCAAATTTGGAAAGACGTCTGCATTGAATTGTCTCATATAATAATATTCCGCCCACTATATCACAAGAAATTGCGAGTAGCTGAGTGGAATGGAGAGAAGCTAAGCATTGGGTACAGGACCAAGTCTCCCCTGGGTGGTGCCAGAAGATGAGCGCAATAGAATCATCAAGTTGCCATAAGGCACGGAATGAGACTATTGCATGTCTGGGTAGTCAAAGTCTTCCATTCGTTAGTCATTTCAGGAGGATTAGAACAGGTTTAGGTGGGCGTTGGCCAGATTTGGATTTTTCAGATGTAATCCTGGATAGGACCCTGTCATTGAACGTCGCGTGAGAGTGGAACTTAATGAAGGCCTAAGTACTTTTTCGTAGTTTTTAGTTTTCGGATTTGAAAGATCGTCGGTTACAGTGGCCTGCATACTGAGCAGAAAAACGCTGTCCCAGGTCCTTACATATCAAAGAGATTTATGGTAAAATCGCTTGTGTATCGTGTATTTTGCGAAATTTGAGAAACGGTATTATGTGATATGAGGGGCTCGGTGGCCTTAAAGCAACCGTTTTTGCTTACTGAGCAGAACATCATGAGTCTAATCTCAGGCCCATCCACATTCAAGATTAATCAATCGTTTTATTTGTTAATATCACTACATGGTAATAACAGCAACTCGGTGATTAAAAAGGTGCTCGTCTGCCTAGTGGCAAACGTTTTTGCTTACTGAGCAGAAGACCGTGGGTTTAGTCCCAAGTTCCTTCGCGTTATATGATCGTTAGGACATCAATTCAGCTTATCGTTTACCAAAACGAACCCTGCTGCAAACCCAACCCTCTTATCCAACATCCCAGTGATTCCTCGTGGAAGTGCAGAGGTGTTCTCGGCTTCCATCAAAGCGAGTGTCATGTCAACACAATCCTTCCCATTCCTTTCTTGACCTGTGTTCGGGCGCGGCCGGCGCTGGTATTGCCTAATTTAAGATCACCAGTTTTTACACATTGAGGATGATTGCTAGTCCCAAGCATCGTCTATTGGTTCTCTGTGTAATTACAGCTGATCTGGCAGTAACAGAGTAGCAACCGTGGGCGGTCAATCAAGCTCAAGCTCAAGCTCAGCTTCAACTTTGCAAGTTGTGAGTAGTCTCGCAATATAAAAGGAGCTGGTAAAATCAAGTAAATCAAGCATGATATTTTGCTCCAACATCACGCACGATCTTCGTTCCAGAATCTTGAAATTTTTTTCAAACTTGGATTATTCTGTTTTTTTCAATTCCAGGAAATAAACATTTTCTTCAGCTCTACATTTTTTTTTTCAGAATATGATGAATCTGATTAATGATTTTTAAATTTGCGTTAAATCTCTGTTTTGAAGATTCTTCATGGAATCAAATATTAAAAATTTGTCTCGGTTTTCAATTTATTCATTTTCCAAATGCCTAAGCCAATTTCTAACTTTATTCGTAAAAATTTGCAAAATTTCAGAAAGATACCCCCTACCAAGGAGTTTTACTCAGCACATTGTGCCGAAATTAGGTAGGGCACAGATTGGGCACATCCATCGGCACAATCTCGTGGGCGTTGGATTGTTGTAAATAAAATGGGAGCACTGCTGGATAACTGCCATTGAAGTTGTTCACAACATCACGTGCTGTTTGACTGATTGAGCAACTCAGACCAGCAGTTCACTTAAAGATCTAAATACGAAACGTAGGTTCTGGAGTGGGATTAAGAGAAAGAGGTTGTTAATTAGACTCCATTAATACCCTTAATTCAAATAACGCTGCAACTCACACAAAACAAACTACAGAAGGCCATTCATCATCCTCTAAAGTCGGTCTCCAACAATGTTCCCAATTGGTTCCAACTCTTTCCAATAAATCACAAAATACTAGGTTTCTGGTCTGCCTTTGAGGGCATTTTAAAACCTTAAACCTAGGACTTTTACTATCCCATGAACACAAAACACCAAGATTTTGCACACCCACCACTTCCCGCGCCATCCTCAATCCGATTTATCCTTGCGATTTCAAACCAAAACATTCAAGGTGTCAGGTCTCGGTATGCCGGGATGGATATTTTACACACAATCGCAGATTGGTCTATGACCGGCACAAACGGCACACATGTGGCACAGAGGGGAAAGACAGTGAGAAATTCAGAGCAATACAGAGTAACTCTGAGGAACTCTCTTGCTCTCTGATGAACGGTTGTATTATCTCGATTGTTTTGACAGCACAGCCCAAGCAATCACATTTATCGGAGTTTGGAACTCGCAGGACTTATCCTCAAGTACATGTTCTCACCGGAGCTGGTTACTGGAAGGGAATATCTATCTATTTGCTTACTCTAAGCATCTTGATGCTCAGTAGTATTAAGGAGGCAATATCCTGTACAATTTCATTACCCCTGCAAAACTAAAATTGTCCTCCAGAAAGCCATCGCCCGTCATTTTAGAAAATAACTAAAACCTCTAGGACAAATGCAACGGAACAGTTTCTGATTGCAAATCCTAAGTTCTC